ATCATTTATTTATGCCGAGAGATATGCAAATTAACCCATGTCGCAAACATGTTAACACACTCAATGTAACTGTATTTCTATGCGTCTCTATTCAAAACAAAAAGCCATCTTACTCATTTACTTTCAGACGTCTATTTTCGGAAGTAGCAAGAAAAAAACTACATAAAGTATAATTCGTTGCCAATGTTTAAAAAAAAGTAACCATTCGAAAAAAAGATTTCACCTTCATGACGATGTTCTCTTTTTGTAACTTTTCATGGATTCCCAGCAACGTAGAAAATGTTCTCACAGAATTAGAATATATTTCAGCAGAATGAATATTACTCTTTCTTATTTATTCGTGACACACGGATGAAGAACAATGAAAAAAACATCGATTTGTTCAAGTCGAATAGTAATCACTGTCCTTATACATAATTTCATCAATTTATTTATGCATATTTATGGAATGAATCGAATTTTTCAATTACTTTACCAACTTTTCTGGGAAAATACGAGTACATGTGTAAATATCTCAAATTTGAAAAAGAATATTGGTTAAATTCGAATGTATTATTTTCTTTGTGATATATTTTAGATATACACATTTTATGCATTTCAATATTAACAAGTAACGTTCATCGACATTCAATGTCGATTCACTTGGCCCTAGACTGAGGGAATGATGACAAAGATGTCCTTATATTTTTAAATAAAAATGAATTCTGTATAAGGATGAGTTTAGGAGAAATTATTAACAAGGATTTAGTATGATTTAGGGACGTAGAACACATATAAGGTATCTTATAGCTTTATGAGACAAGTATCATTCAAAAGAGAAAACTCTTAGAGTCATATATCGCGGATGCCTGTTGGATTTAGATCACGCTAGTGATCAATTCTATGCTTCCTAACCAGTATACATGAATGGTGTTCCAAACCTTGATGCTTGAAACGAATTAAAATCCTAGTACTTTCAATGTTGACTGGTATCAAAAATTCTACAATATTGAGAAGCAATTGATTTAAAAAGTGCTGCATTTGATTTTGCATTCTCCACGAATCATTCAATTCTGTACGATGGTCAATTATCGATGTTGGTACCGTGCAAAAGCTACTCTGCAATTTTGATCTGCTGCGTCATATCCTATTTCAATATAGCACTAATACGAAAATTCATGCACCTTGTTCTATTGCTTTCACGAATTCTATTGTGCACACGATTCATTAACTGACTCGACTTGATTTCCTCCAACTCTCAAATATTTCGGTGCCTGGGACATCATCTTAACAGCAGACTGCAGCCCGCCACATTATCTGTCTCACCAAAACAACATAAAACACCTCATTCACAGGACAACCGAAACCAAGGCTAGGAAACTAATCGACCGGTTCTCATAAACGACACCCATAACAAACTATCTAATCGACGAGAAACACATTGATTTCCATAATACATTAAACACATTATGAGTAACACATTGTCGAATGTGCCATAGAAATACACGTATGTGCCAAAACAGTGGTCATTTGAGCCATAATAATGGTCATTTGTGCCACTGACATGGCCGTTTGTGCCATAAAAATGGTAGTTTGTGCCATAAAAATGGTAGTTTGCGTCATAAAAATGGTCATTTCTGCCATAAAAATGGTCATTTCTGCCATGAAAATGGTCGTTTGTGCCACAGAAATGGCCATTTGTGCCATAGAAGTGGTCATTTGTGCCACAGAAATGGTCATTTGTGCCAAGTGCTTGTTACAGACAGACAGGCAGACAAACAGACAGACAGACGGACAGACAGACACAGGTGAATTACGGTTTCTAGACCCTAGCCTTTCAGTCTAGGGAATAATAAATAGTATTCACCTGATACATTTATATCGAATCTGAAAAAGTAATCAAAAACAATTCATATATAAAATTAATATTTTTTGTAAATTTATAGATATATTTCTGCTTGTATGTGCTCACAAACAAATAACTGTAAACGTAAAGAATTCGAAACAGTATTCAACGAACTATTTCATCTGGAGAATGATTTCTATGGCTCATATAATTTCTTACAAAATGAACAAGATCTTACATTTGAAGAGATAAAAAAGGTCATCCCACATAAGTTAATGTTATGCCAAGCAGTAACGGATCCAGGATTCTAGTAAGGGATTGACAACTTTTAAATGATGCTTTCTGAGGTACCGCTATTTTTGGGTGTGGGTGTGGGTGTGGATGTGGTTGGGTGTGGGTGTGAGTGTGGGTGTGGGTGGGTGTGGATTTGGGTGTGGGTGAGAATAATATAATTATCCTAGCACCCATACCCACCCCCACCCCCACCCACTCCCACTCCCACATCCGCACCCGCACCCACAGACCCACACCCACACCCACATCCTGTGCTGATAGTACTAGTAGCTACTTAGTGGATCTTTTTTGAATAACTTTTGCCAGAAACAAGATAAAGAACTGCAGTTTTCATTGTTCGAAAGAAGGGATAAAGATGCATCAAATCATGTATTATATGTTCTCCTAGTATATAGTCTGATGTTTGTTTAATCAGTTTTCTAAGAATGGGGAAAATGGTTTCTTGTCGAAAAGGAAACAGCGAAATATTCTTTTATGGAAATTGCCAGAAAAATCACTTAAACCTTCGACTAGAATATCTATAACTTCTGAATGATTAATTCTAAAGTTCTGAACCATGTGCAGCTTTGTAAATCTTCCATCACCGGTTTCAATACACATTTGACAATTGAGAATTCACTGTAAATACCTCACGAGTAGATTTGTTTTCAAAGAGGTTGATTAAAAGGCTTTAAAAAGGTATTGTCAAAAAAGAACCTATAATATATGATTCGATGCATCTTCATCGCTTCTTTCTGTTATGTCAGTAGAGACATCTCCTGACATAAGACGGCCATCTTTATCCCTCTATCATAGTTAGGAGATGGAACCAACCGGTGGAAGAGGAGAGAAAGAGAGAAAGAACATTCTTTGCTGCTTTTTGTTTTTGATTGATTCAGTTGTTTTGTTTTTGTGAAGAAAGAAGGAATAAAGAAACTGGGGAAAAAGGACCTAACACTTTCGAACTATGAAAATCGCAGTTCTCTGTTCTGTATTGTTTCTAGCAAAAGTTATTCAAAAAATATTCACTTAATAGCCACCAGTACTATCAGCACATTTCATACCGAAAAAAATCTTATCAAAACTTTATTATTATGATATTAGTTGAAGTATGGTCAGATAGCATAGAAAAATAGAGCATTCGTTTCTCTATCAGACTATGTAGAGAGGAAGTTTCTTAAAGATTTTTATAAGGAGTTATAGTATCGCCACGATTACTTTTGCATTGTCCAAAGTATCAATATTATATGATATTTATTTTAAGGTTATGAAACAAGAGTAGGATTGAAAGGTAGCTTTCTGTCAGGTGGTGAGAAGCAACGCATTGCTATTGCTAGAGTTCTTCTTCGTCGACCTAAAATATTGCTCTTAGATAAAGCTACAAGTGCCATGGATTCACATAATCAACAAGTAAGTTTGTTTATTTATTTCTATTTATCAATAAAAGATTTATCTTCATTTTTCAATTATAGATTATACAAGAAGCTCTTGAACAAGCTCAAAAAGAAGATTCTAACCGAACATCACTCATTATTGATCATCGTCTTTCAACTATTCGTTCATGTGATTTGATTTGTGTACTTGATGGAGGACATATAGTGGAAAGTGGTACTCATACAGAACTGATACGACAACATGGAGCTTATTATAAAATGGTCACTGAAAACAATTTATAATCATCATCAATGAACTATTTTGAAAATGAAAATACACTTTATTAAACATTACGCGAAACTCTGTCTAAATCTAACACTTGATGTAGTTACATTGCTCAGTTTACTATAGAGTTTTTATTATTAATACACATCGGTAAAGTTATCTAGTGATTCGAGTATATCCTTCTGGAATTCGTATATAGATTTGTTTCAACACCTCTATTTCTTTCCAAGCATAGCTTGATGAGCTTTGTCGATTGGTAACATCAGATTTTCCATGTCATAAATCTGCTTGCTGAAAATCCGCCTTTACTGACTTTTCATCATGGAGAACTAGGAACCTATGGAGTTTTTCCTTCTAGGATTCGTCCAGAGTGACCTGTTCCAATATATGGGTAACTGTGTCTTCTTTTGAATACAAAGGAGAAACAGAGAAAGTATTTTGATTGATTGTCCAGCTATTGTCATACTGAATCATTTCAATTATTATGACTGATTTTGACCAACGTTATTCACGCATTGATTGATATTTTGATGAAAGCAATATAGTAAATAGACGTCTGCTGAAACTCAGCAAAAGATTTTTATTAATACAAAGAAATTTACGATAGATCAAGGGGGAAAGTGCAGCTTTGAAACTTTCAGCACCGTTGGGTACTGCAGGTGTTCTGGTACTCATACATATTTGCAATTAGACTGTATATTAAGGTAATAGCCACGAGTAGACCTGTGACAGTTTCAGATCTAAGAACTGAACTGATGTCAGTCACCCAGTTCTTTTAAACGGAACGGGAACTGGTGACCAGTTCTTTTGAAATGAACTGGGTATGGTGAACAGGTCTTTTTAACAGAAGTGATTGTGATAATCAGTTCTTTTTTTGACAACTGGAGCAAGTACTGAGTAAATATTAGTAGATCACGATTGTTGATAGAACAAGTACAGCTGGAAAAAACCAATCACTAAACCCAGTTCTCTAAAAAAGAACTGGTCTCTGGATAGCGTTCTTAAAAAGCAACCAGTCACTAGACTCAGTTCTTTGAACTGTGATATTTTCATAAGATCCTTGTATCTCAGTGAAATCGCAACATGAGCCCATATCCTCTTACACTTTTTCTAGTCTCCAAATCTCCTACTTATGGGCAAAATATGAAGTCAAAAGCAATGAATCACTTCGAAAGGTTCCCTCGTTAGTTGTAATACTTTAGTTGAATTACATAATTTTTTATGTTTAGTTACTGGATTCATTTCAATCTCCAGTGTAGATGATATAATTCACTGTTTGAAATGGCTGAACGACAGAAAGAGGAAGCCCAGAACCGACCGACGCTGTGTGTCCCATAACGTTGTGATTATGGTCAGTGGAATTGAGGATAAAAATGTCAGTTTTGCCAGTTGGAATTTGATGTGAGTGCTCGATATCCGTATGCATGTACCAGAATTTACCATTTGAGAAGCCACTGCTTCCGAATGCCGTCGTTGTTAGTGCGTTTCCTGTCCGTCCTCCATGATTGTGGCCAGGATCGTATATATTGTGTGAATGTTCACCGCCATTGCTTGTAGTCAACGAGCCTGACGCATGTTGATGAGTAGGAAGTTGTTCGGCGGAGAGCGTGGGCATCGACTCACCACCAGCAGCACCTATGCGTTTAGCATGAAGCACTCGTCGTTCAAATTCGTCGACACCGAGTGGAACACGTCCTCTGAAATCAGGAAGTCGGAATGTGAGGCCATTATCACCATCTTCGGCAAGATTGTAACTAAGTCCAATAACAGCAAACAGACGTTTATAGGTAACACGAGACAGAATCGCTCCATCACAGAACATCCATGGAGCGGGAGGAATGTCCGATGCACTATACAGTTTGATTTCCCCAGTAAGAAATCTTGGTGGTGGACTTGAGGGTGTGATCGGAGTGACCAGCCCACTGACTGAATGTATCACTGCTCCATTTTGTTTCTGAGCGAGAAGTTCTTTGGCAAAGATGGCTACCGAAAGTTGATCGGTGAGATCAACCAATTTATAAACCATAAAAGCCTTCGGGATGAACTTTTCACCTGTCCACTCGAATTCGACGGTACTCTGATCAAGTTGATGTTGAATCTCACTCAGCGAAAGAACTTCATGTGACGTATAGCTGTTTGCATGACTGGAAGAACTAGTCGATCCACCACTTCCGCCCAAATTAATACCAAAACCTTTGAAGATTCCACCCAGAAAACCAGAACCTTGACTGGATGATGCAGAACTCGACTGCTGATTGATATTGAAGTATTTGTCAGAAAAGTTATGTGCTTCGCTCGCTGATTCGTTGTATGTCATAACGTTACTCAATTCTGATACTAATCGATCCGGATCCAGATCAGAAGACGACCAAACTTCTTCAAAAAGGTTGGCTTCCAGCCGCGTTTCTTTCGTGCTCGACATGCCTTCGTGAAAAAGCGAAGTGAACTGATCTTCAAGTCCACTTATTAGCTGTGATATGTTGGCATTTGGTTGTTCTTGATAAATCATTTTTTTTACATTCGCCAAATACTGGCTGGTGAATTTTGTCGCTTGGCTTCTGTGTATGTACAGTGCATTTGTGTTATTTCCATCAGCCGCTGTTTTTTGCAAGACACGTTGTAGTTGATCACCCATAATTGAGACGAAATTCGTGCTCACTTGCATGAAGCCAGCAAAAAAGAAACCGATTTCGATTTCATAGGTACCGGAGAGTAGTTTGGTGGCAATCGCCTTGGCATTCACCTTCGTGGTAGACTCGAAACGACATGTGATAACAAGTCCATTTGGATTGGTAATAGAATATGGGTAGATACCAGCCACAGGTGATTTGTTGCCTTTGACGACGTAGGCTGTAAAAGAATCGATCATAAGAGGAGCTACATCCCAGAAACGAGCATGAAGCGCTTCTTCATCTTTGACTTTCTTCATTATGGCTTGTCGAGCAAGCTCTTCCGTTTCTTGGCTACCTATCATGAGTTGAACACGAACTTCATTGTCTACTGCCGATGCCCAATTGCTGCCCTTCGCAGTAGCTTGGAAAGGAATGGCAAGAGGAACGTAGTAGAAAATCCACTTGGACGGCTGTTGAGCATTTTCGGCTATATTCGACACCGCTTCGTACACATAGACTTGCTTCTCCTTATAAGTGAATAGGGTGAATATTTGAGTGTTAACCACAGCAGACCCAAGGCTCGGACTTTTCGTTTGACCGCTATCTACTGACTCATCAATAGTTTTACTTAAACTGGCATGGATGGTGACATACACCAGTAGTAAGACGAAGAGAAGAAGCCACTTCATACGATGTTTTCGAAACGAATTTCTTTTGTTTTTTCTATCACTTTTATCCAAGAAATACATCTGGTTTGTTTCCCAGCGTTGCTGTGTGTTACACTGTGGCTGATGACATCCTTTGGCATATTCACGGAATAGATTAATTTAGGCGTTGCTTTCTGCGATTTTTTTCTCATGCCTTTTTATTCGTATCGCAGGGTGTCGCAAAAGTCCGCCGGAAAATAAAGTATTGGGTATAAGACTGTAACGAAGGTCGTTGTTGACTTTCATCGAAAATCATGTGTTTATTTCAAGCGTTCAATAAGTTTTACTTATCATTATCAGGAAACAACAGTAGAGTCAGTTGAGGTAAAGCAGATCACTTGTTCACAGGAATTAGTTTTAATTTTCTAATAATAAATATTTGTCACTTCGACGTGCGTCCGATATGATGAGACAGCGATCACCAACGTGAACCTGGCTCGATCCAATTTTGACTATAATAATGACACCCATATCCTAGATTTCAAATGTGGGGTCCCATTTTTCACAAAGGAAATACAGTGAAACCTCTCTAAGATGAACACTAACGGGACTTTTTAAAAAGTGTTCATTAAAGAAGGTGTTCATCTTATGGAGGTTTCATATTGAATGAAGTTTTACATGCACACAGTGTATGGTGTGGGCGTGGGTGGGGTGTGTGGGTGTAGATGTAGATGAGATAAATAATGCCACCCACATTCAGTCTCACACCAACGCTCCCACCCGCCTCACATCCACACCCACGCTTCCACCCACCCCACACACGCCTAAAATAGAAATGTTCTTACTACGTTGAATGACGATCCATTCGTAAACTTTCTGATCCAGCTCTTGATTAAGTTCATCCTGAAAGTTACGTTTTCTGGTTGATTTCTCATTTTGTTCGTAACTTTCTTTATATTCTGCCTTCCGTTTGATAATATTCGATACGCTGCCGATCGAGATTTTGTATTTTTCAGCAAGTGTACGATATGAAGCGTTCTCTTAATTTTCAGGGATTAATTGCGCTTTTTCAGATAAAGTTAATGTGTGTTTTGTCGCCATTTTACAATCGAAGATAGAAATGTGCGTTATTCTCTCATACAGAATCGATTAACTCATCGCGAACTATTCATTTTCATTGTTCTGTTTGTTTCATACACACCGCAAAGCTTGTTATGATGAATTGACCGTCAAAAATTGACTTATCATCGCTTTATTGCGCAGTCTATTTTTTTATCTTCTTATTTCATACATGGACGCATAGTTCGTCACTGTATGTAACTATACGGAGGTTTTTTCTACAGAAAGGACCGAAAAAAGCGTTCATTGTTCAGAGTTGGGAGGTGTTCATCTTGCGGAGGTCTATTTACAGCAAAAAACGATCGGGGAGACTGAAGCATCTGTTCAAACCGGAGGTTTTCAATAATAGAGGTTTTACTGTATATCAAGAGGACATACTTTGTATCGTTTGACGAGGAGTATTCAAACAGCACGGTCGGTACCTCTATTGAACGATGGAGTTCCATCCAAGTATTCGACAGAGGGTGTGGGTGTGTGGATATGGATGTCGGTGTGCGTGTGGGGGCGCTATCTTTTCTTATGCCCGCCCCCACACTCACCCACATCTTCTAGAACGCAGATTAGAGTTTATTTTGATGAGTGAGAACTTATTTCATCTTTTCAGGAAACTATGAGTATCAAGTCGAACAAAATACTAAAACGATTTTTATGCAAATGACCATAAAATTGGCACCCAAGTAAATCATTTCTGAACCAGTTTTATTAAAGAACTTATTCGAGGATGTGAGGTGTGGGTGTGTGGGTGTAGGTGTGGGTGGGGTGGGGTGTGGGTGTGGTGTGGGTGTGGTGTGGTTGTGGTTGTCTCTATATCTTATCCAAGCCACACCGACTCACACCCACACCCACACCCACACCCACACCCACCCACTTCTGCGGGGTTTCCGAGACCTTGAACTTTTTCAACTACTTTTGACGCTCTTTGATAGGTTTCTAACATCCTGAAAATCCTTTCTCGGAAACCTCCCATAACATTCCGAGAAAACGAATATCTCTATAGTGTATTATGTATGAAAGTTATAACATATGAGATTTAATTCAATATCTAATAAATGAAATAAATGTAGAAATTTTTAATGAAAAATTTTATTAATATGAGAATTTTAGATCTTGTACGATCATTTTCAACCAAATACCACGATTATAGATGTTACAAACATCGACAAAAAAGACAAAGATAAAACAGCAATGTCATCATGAATGATATGATTATGAACAATATCATTATAAAAATTATCACCATGAATTGTTATTATCATAAACAATAACTTTATAAATAAATAAATATCAAAAACGATATTAACATATAAATCCATCCGAATATTTAAGATAATTTAATGTAATAACACTATGTATTAATAACTTAAAATATTATTCATTAGACTATGGTATATTGCAATGAGATATATTCCAAATACATATGATTCTTAAAAGATCAACATTCTCATATTAATAAAATTTTTCATTAAAATTTTCTATATTTGTTTCCTTTATTAGATATTAGAGTGTATTGAGTGGCAATGTCGAAAAGAAACGGTTTAATAACTTCAGTCAACTTCGAAAATACAAACAAGTATTACCAATCGACTTAGCTTGATCGATTACCCCTGCCCTGACCAATTCTCGTTCGGTTGAAGGCAGTTTGATCAATTTCGAGCTCTCAAGAAAACTCTAATAGCTCCTCAGCAAAACAGACTAGAGATTTCAGTCTTGTATAGATCGAAAGACAACAATCTTTTCTATCTAATGATTGAATTTCTAGTCAGAGTTCAATGGTGAAACCTTTCAGAAAATCATTTACCACATGTTAACCATGTCGTTCACCTGATTAGTCAATTGATGACTGATCAGATATTAGCTTTCTTCTATGAAGAAAACAATTCTCTATTCAATGCTGAAAATCGCAGGTCGGTATCTTGTTTCTATGAAAAATGGTTGAGAAAATGGCCACCTAGCTTATATTTTGGCGTCAATACTAGCATAAAGTTTACCTGTGTTAGTAGTCCTGAGTCTCATATGTTACCGACAGTATGAGTAGGATTGAGTCGGCATCTTAAAGCCGAAGTGGGACAGCTATTGGTGCAATGGCCCGGATTGCAAACGATAATTAAGCTTTGGTAACGACCAAGTTCTATACTAGAACCGGGTTCAGTTAGTGATCATGACAGGGTTTGAGTCGAGAAGTGTAGTGGCATAGGGTCTGTGCTGAGAAGCAAAGTCGTGTTCCTTATTGGTACTCGTACACTGACCAAATGGTGGATAGACATTAAGACGCAATGCCGAACTATGGTGAAATACTACAGTCCTGGTTCATTTGTGAAAGGTACACTTCATGTCTGGTTGTGTGTGACAGTATCATATCTTAAAACTAGAAGATATTTTAATTTAGAATCAGTATTTTGTTCGTGTAGTAAGATTGTTTTTGAAAGAAAAAAAGTACATAATATATTTTTCCGCACATTGTGATGCATATTCGTTTGTCTGTGCATAAGTATAGTTTATCTGTACGAAGGACGAATGAGAGAAGAAATAAAACAATAGTAAAATTTATTTTGTTTAAATCAGAAGGACATATTAACTAATTTGTTGAACACTTTTACTCTTCCTCATGTATGCAAGGTGTTCCAAGAATTTTTTCCTAAAAGTTTTTTTCATTTCATCTCACTATTGACTGGATATCGTCCAACAATGATTTTTATAATNAATTAAAAATAATAACGAAATTGCTATTTTACAATCTAGTTCATGTCATAAAGTCATATAATTATCAATCAGTTATTATAAAAGATGATGTAGATGCGCAAAAAATATATTGCACTACAACTCTACATCGTTTTCATTTTACTACGAGTTCATCTAAATGAGTTTTCTCTACTATTTAATCCAAACACAAGAAACTACTGATGGATTTTATACTAATCTGAACTAGGGTTGGTATACTTTCTTGAAAACAGATTAGTCATGGTCAGCACAGATGATTCTCCAGACTAATTAGTCAAGTCTTTTTTTCTGTTGTTAGCTTCAATCACATACCGAATAGATACGCGTCACTTTCCCATTTAGACTATCGAAGTTGATGCCAGTCTATTTTGTTAAATTGTTGTTAACCATCAAAATGTCTGTAAGGTGTAAAATGCTATTGGATCGAATGTTCAAATCTACTTTTCACCTTCTTTTCTTCTTGCTTGTTTGTTCTACTGGCGAGTCTGAACAGAAAATAAACAAACAAAACGAACTAGACATGCAGAGATATAAGGAAATTCTGGACTAGTTCAGATATAGTTGAGAACATCCCTTGTCAAAACGACCAGTCTTAATTGAATCCAAGACTTTTAGACTTTTGATTAGACAGTAGCCCAGATATTTTAAACTAGTCATGTTGGACATCCACACTTAATTTTTGCTAATTAGAGCTGATATTTAAATAGTTTCGAAATGTGTATTGAATGATGAGATCTTTTCCAGTGTTCAACTACGTGAAAAATTGAAATTTCTCAAACTCTCAATATTGTTCGCATAACATTGAAAATGTTTTGTTGCTAATATAAAGTTTTAATTGAGCGTAAATCCATCATACTGTAACATCAAAGTACTATTCTAACTAAACATATTATCTGTAACTCTTTACTGTTTTCAACTGTAGATGAAAATACATCATTAGATTTTTCAACTGACATATCACTTCATAAACAATATTCTTTACACAACTTAAGCGTGATTTCATTGTCATTTCGTAGATAAACGAAATCGAATGAAATTATTCATCACATTTTTCAGGCTGTGGTATATTATTTTCTTGAAAATATCGATTTAGTTTACATTTAATCTTTTTATAGGAGCAAGTTTCTTTTTTGGGCGCACAATAATCCAACTACGATGGGTGTTTACATGTTTGCTTTATTCGCAAGTTTTGCAACGATAGCTGGAGTGCTGATAGTTTGCTTTACTTCACCCAAAACAAGTAAATATGCACCCTTTATTAGTTACCTATAACAGACGATATTGCTTTTATATTTATAAAACTGAAACAGATTTTTCAACGGTGTGAACATCTTGATCATTTTTCAAATAATCAAAACACAGAGTGAAAGTCGAAAGTAGTGATTCCATGTTTCATCATTTTAAATGCTTTAGATGATTGACAATGGAATTGATTGTATTGTAAGTTAAAACGATTGACCATGTTCGAGTCAAATAATCACTCTGATCGAAAAACTAACCGATTTAAAATATTAGTTGTCCATGACATGTACAAAGCGATACGTTCGATCTTTTTGATATTTACCGTGTAGATAAAATACTCACTATTGAAAATTTTAATAACCATGAAATATAAAGGAAAATTGATCAAAGGGTGTGATTTCCAGAACCTCTTCTATATTCTTTTAAAGTTTGAAACAAACTTTTTTCTTATACAGCTGGATGATCTCTATTCAACCATCACGCAAAAAGAAAAAATATTGTTAAAATTTAAAATTGTGAGTATTTTATATACATTGTGAATATCTACAAAAAATGAATATCTTGCTCCATGGACGCATCAAATCAACTCATATTTTAAATGAGTTAGCTTTTCGATGAGAGTGATCATTCGACTCGAACATGGTCAATCTTTTTAACTAAAACAAAATGAGTGAAAAGAAAAATTTCTTTCTACCATTTTAAAGTGTGTATTCTAGAGTTTGATGTGAAGTTTTATTTTAGAAAAAACATTTGTTAAAAAGAAATCCATATTTACTTGAATGGTTATTATATTTCAAGTTAGACATATATATTTTGTAGGTAAACCCTGTCAACTGGCATTTAAACGAATCAAAAAAAGTTCACTTATCTCTCATTCGCAACCGCGATCCGTTACTGTTGGAGACTTCAATAATGACAAACGAATCGATATTGTTGTTGCCAATTCCGGTAGACATACTATTGGTATATTTCTTTCATATAATAATGGGACATTCGCAGATCAACAGACCTATTCAACTGGTTCTCAATCTTTTCCTTATTCGGTTGTTGTCAATGATTTTAATAATGACAGTTATCTTGACATTGCTGTCGCCAATTATGGAACCAACAACATTGGTATTTTTCTTGGATATGGCAACGGAATGTTTTCTGGTCAAAACGTATTTTCAACTGGGTCTTCCCGTCCATTGTTTATCACTACTGGTGATTTTAACAATGATAATCGGCCGGATATGATTGTAGCTAATTATGGTACTAACAGCATTGGTATCTTTCTTGGTCATGGTGATGGATGTTTTCAAGTTCAGATAACAATTTATACTGGTTATGATTCTCTCCCACATTCCATAGCTGTTAATGATTTCAACAATGACAATCATTTAGACATTGCTGTTGCTAATTATGGTACTCATACTATTGGCATTTTTCTTGGATATGGTAATGGATCTTTTGAAAGCCAAACGACTTATACTACTAGTGTTCACTCAAATCCATCCTCTATCGCAACTGGCGATTTTAACAATGACAATCATTTAGATATTGTTGTTGCTAACAATGGCACTGGCAATCTAGGAATACTATTTGGCTTCGGTAACGGGACGTTTACAGCACAAACAACATATTCTATTAATGCCAATTCTCATCCACGATATATTGCTGTTGGTGATTTTAACAAAGACAAGCAACTGGATGTGGCCATTGATGATTTAGAAAATAATCAGATACATATTATTTTGGGATCTGATAATGGTACTTTTACCACATTATCAACATACGATGGAATATCTGAATCTCATCCATTTTCGATTGCTGTAGCTGACTTCAACGATGACAATCAATCAGATATTGTCGTTGCTAATTATGGTACTAATGATGTGCTTGTAATTAGTGGATACTTCAGTGAACCGTCTGCAAGACAAACAAACTATTTGATTCAAAATCACACTACTACGACGTTCGTTGTCATTGCTGATTTTAACAACGACAATTACCTCGATATAGTTACTAATGGTTTTTCAAGTGACGATTTACTCTTATTAACTGGTTATGGGAACGGAACTTTTGTCAGAGAAAAGACATTTTCAACTGGTTATCAATCGTTTGCACAGCAATTTTGTACTAGTGATTTGAATAACGACAATCGAATGGACATTGTCAGTGCCAATATGGGCTCTGACAGTGTAGGTATTATTCTTGCTGATACTAATCAAATCTTCGCCAACGTGACGACATATTCTACTGGTATTGGTTCTAGTCCATTATGGGTGGCAGTTGGTGATGTTAATAATGATAAAAAATTGGATATTATATCCGCTAATTCAGGTACTAATAGTGTCGGCGTTCTTCTTGGACATGGTGATGGAACTTTTGATATCGTTGTTACGTATTCTACTGGTGTTGGCAACAATCCGCGTTCAGTCGCTGTTGGTTATATCAATAATGATAATTATCTAGATATTGTCACCGGTAATTACTATTCGTCCAGCCTCTTGATACTTCACGGAGATGGTAATGGAACGTTTAGACTGGTGACAGTTTTTTCAACGGGATACGATTCAGGTCCGACTTCGATTACTCTTGCTGATTTTAATAGTGACAATCATCTAGATATCGCGGTTACTACCCTTAGCGTAAATAACATTGGTATTTTTCTTGGATACGATGATGGAAATTTTGGACCAGAAATGAGTTATTCAACAGAAACTAACTCTGCTTCATACTCTCTCATCGTTGCTGACTTCAATCATGATAATCAATTAGATATTGCTACTCCCATCTTCACCAATGATGAAGTAGTTATTTATTTTGGGTATGGCAATGGAAGTTTTCAACTGGCAAGAACGTATTCCACTGGATTCGGCTCAAGGCCGTATGATATCGCAGTTGCCGATTTCAACAATGACACACAATTAGAAATTGTTGTCGGTCTTTACGGTAGCGGTACCGTAGCCATATTAACTCAATACTTGGCTGCAAAGTTTACAAATCAAGCAATCTATTCAACAGGTTCTGCTCCACAGCCGTATTCTATAGCTATTGCTGATTTAAATAATGACAGTCGGTCAGATATCGTCATTGCCAATTCAGGAACTGATAATTTACATATAGGTTTTGGTCTTGGCAATGGAACATTTGGATCCCCAATGATATATCCAACTGGAGTTGATTCCCGTCGACAATATGTCATTACAGGTGATATAAATAATGACCATAATTTGGACATAATTATTGCCAATTCAAAGCATGACAGTATTAGTATGATCATGGGATATGGTAATGGTAGTTTTTCCAACAAAATGCTATATTCCACTGGCGATGGTTCGTATCCATCTGTAGTTATTATTAGTGATCTTAACAATGATAATCGCTCCGATCTGATCATTGTTAATGAAGGCACCGATAGTATAGCAACACTTGTCGAGTATGACTATGCAGTGTTTAAGACTCATCAAAAATATTCAAGTGCGAATAATCTGATGCCCACCGCGGTTGTGACTGCTGATTTCAATAATGACAATTATTTAGATATAGGCGCTACTTTTATCAATAGTGGCAATGTTGGTATACTTCTAGGATGTGGTAACGCAAGTTTTGGTGTTATGATGACTTATCCAACAGGAATTGGCTCATTCCCTACCGGACTTGCCGTGAACGACTTTAACAGCGATGGTAGAATCGACATTGCAGTAGCTGATTACGGTACTGACAATGTAATCATTCTTATGGGATATGGTAATGGAAGTTTCGCCAACATGATGTATTTTTCAACTGGACGTAATTCTGGACCATTTTCGGTCGCTCTTGCTGATTTAAATAGGGACGGCTGTTTGGATATCGCTGTAGCTAATTCTGGTAGTGATAGTGTAGGCATTCTTCTTGGATATGGTAATGGCAATTTCGCCACTATTATGACTTATCCAACTGGAGTTGGTTCGTTCCCAGTCGTGATCATCATCAGTGATTTGAATAAGGACAATTGCTCAGACATTGTTGTTGTTAATCGTGACACCAGCAATATCGGTATTTTTCTTGGCTACGGAAATGGAAGTTTTGCAAACCAAGTTACCTATTCAATCGGGCGTTACACTTCTCCATGGTCGGCTGTGGTGAGTGATGTAAACAACGATGATAAACTCGATATTGTCACCGCCAATTATAACACTGGTACCATAGGCTTGTTTGATGGCTATGGAAACGGAACTTTCCATAAAATGAAGGCATATTCAACTGGAACCGGCTCTCTTCCGAGATATGTTACCGTTGGAGATATGAACAATGATAACCGATTAGATATTATTGTGGTTAACTATGGAACTAATGACGTGATCATATATTTTGGATATGAAAATGGCATTTATTATGAGGGAAAACCATATTCAACTGGCAATAAATCTAACCCAATATGCTTAACTATTGGCGATTTCAATAACGACAGACGATCAGATTTTGCTATTGCCAACTATATGATGAAAGAAATAGGTATTTTTCTTGGATATGGCAGTGAACGTTTTGGAGGTCTCGCAACATATGATGTTGGTTCTGGATCTGAGCCACATGCGGCTGCCATTGGTGATTTCAATAGTGATGGTAAATCAGATATTGTTGTAGCTAATTATGGTATGGACAATGTGGGCATTTTACTGGGAGATGGCTATACCAACTTTAAAAACACAATTACATATTCAACTGGAATTGGTTCTGCTCCTTGTTCTGTTGCAGTTGAGGACTTTAATAATGACAATCATTCGGATATTGTTGTTGCCAATTGTAAAACTAATAATTTATCTATTCTTATAGGCTATGGCAATGGAACTTTCGCCATTGCAGCGACATATTCAACTGGTGATCGTTCTCATCCAACTACAGTTGTCACTGGTGATTTTAATAACGATAATTTGATGGATATTGTTGTTGCAAATTTTGGTACTAATAATGTATTTCTACTATATGGATATGGAAATGGATCATTTGGAAATGAAGAATCATATCCATTAGGTTACAACTATCGTCCTTACACGATTGCAATCAATGATTTCAATCAAGACGGTTGGATGGACATTATTGTAGGGTGTTATGGTACAGACGATGTAGAAATTCTAATGAAAATGTGTTAATATAGACTTTATTCTGTGAGACAGTTTGATGTTAAGAATTTCACTTGAATAAATTATAAAACAGAGTTATCCGATGTCTTAATCACATACTTCGCACCTACTTTACAACTAGTATTAACGAATAACTCGTCCATAATTAATATGTATATTTTCGAGGCAAAAGTTTCTCTTACAAGAGTATAAGAGAATATGTGCACTCATGGCACGTGTTTCAACTTTACTTAAAAGTCTCATCAGTTACCATGATGAGTCTGAATTCAATAATAATCCAAGCAAATCAATTTACATTGTTAGGTTATAAATGTGTATCACGGAAAGGAAACCATAAATAATTAGTTTCGACCTTTCTCAACAGCCTCATCAGGTAGCTTAGGTTCTGCATCGTCTTATCGAATTAGACTTGAAAGGAAATAAGGAAATAATTTCTTCAAGATCTAATCAAATTCATGTGTTTTCTCGATAAAAAAGAAGGAACAAATGAAGTGTCGTTCGCAGGGCTGGGTGAATCAAGTGATTTTTCAAGTCAAGTCGAATCAAATTATGTTTGCCATTTTTCGTTCTCTGTTTATTTTTATAAAGAACTTTGAGAACAAACTTTTATTTACACGATTCTTATTTTATAGTTGGAGTAACGTGAGTGTGGGTCTGAGTGCAATGTGATCGCGAGTGTGGATACGGGGAAGAACTCACATCCGAAGCCTGTCTTGAGAAACAAGTAATGTGAAATGAAATCTGGAAAATTTTGGTAATCAAAAATACTGTCATCCAATGATTATATCATAACGTGATAGAACATATGACGTATAATGAAATGCTAAGTTTTTGTTTTTTTCTCACATACACCTTTACATTCTAAAAGATGAGCTGAAGCAAAACAACGAGAAAATATATACGGATTCTATAATACACGTAGGCCATTATTTACAACCATATGAATACATAGCTCGGAAAAAAGCTCTACAAAAACACGTTCTGATGGCGTGTATTCAATTTGGGCGAAAGTTGGGAATAAGTGAGAATAGAATCGTATAAATTCCGTTTTTTTTTAAATAAGAACAAATGAAATTTTTTTAGAATGAATGACTTGGATAACTAGAACTAAACAATCAAGTAAATGTTACCCAATTTTCGAGGCCAAGCCATGACTAGGACTCGCCCAGTTCTGTGCCAATTGTCCAAACTCACAAGCGTTTTGCCAGAATTGTTTCAAATCTATCCATATTATAGACCATATCGATTTATTTATAAGATAATAATATTTTCTATTTTCCAAAAATGGGTTTTTACTGAAATAGTATTATATTGATGATTTTCACATTGAAATTTCGACATGTAACCGTTGTATGACTCAGAATGGCTGTATTTTTGTGCAAAGAAAAATGATTTGAAACGAAAAAAAGTAACTGTTGTCTAAACTATTTGATATGCTCTTTAATCTGAATAGATCAAAAAGAATTTTTGATGAAAAGTTTGTTCGTCAAAACTATTACCACAGTCTTGATATTCCTTCGTGATAAATATATGGATGAAAATAGACTCGGCTTGTACTAGGATTTTGGGGTCACAATTTAACTGTGCGTGTCATTCACTCCATCAATTAGTAATTTACATATTGTATTTCTAGTTCCAATGCCGAAGCCAAAGCCAATCTTACTGCCACGACTACAATTCAATTGACTATGAAATTTAGCATCAACATATAATTCATAAGTAGAACCTTTTGGAATTCTTGTATTCTATATGAGTTCTCCTGCTGCCTTCAGAATATTTTTCTCAAGCTTTATACGTAATGCGCCATTTGATCTTATGACTCGATCATTATTTCATTCAGTGACCGAATCGAAATCCGATCTAGCCATGGCACCCGTGTATGCCTTGTTGATGAGCATGATTATCACAAGTGATCGATTTTTGATACAATTGTGGTGATGATAATGAGAAAAAATAACCATAGAAATTATCGAGTAGGTGTATTTCTATGCTTGCCCTACCGTAATCAATCAATAGCAACAAAAGTACATTTGTCAGGACTAATTTAGCGTTGTATAAAAGAAATTATTTTCATAATGAGAAGCATCTTGTATGTACATTTAGTTTTAAGCAATTACTTGTAGTTGTAGGCAACTTCATTATATTGATGACCGTTTGTTTTTTATGATGGCATACAATATAGAAACCTGAATAGTTTGACTATTTATAAGGGAAATCTAATCTCTAGCATTAATTTGAAAATAATCAATGATTTAATCAGGCGGCATTTCATGAAATAACCATTTTAACATGGTTTATCTGATATACATAATTGGATTTTTACGTCAGTAAAATGCTGTGATTGATATAAGAATAACATAGACCCAATACATATAATCCTACTCTACTTTTCTAAAAAGTAGTCTTGAGTAGTTCTTCGAAAACTCCTTGGAAATACATGATGAAATTTTCCTGTGAATTACAAGAGAGTTTAACGGCAGCCAATGTTGCCAGTTTTTTATTAAACTGTTTCCCTTCATGTAAACCTCTCACTGATGTTCGTCTTAATGGATGAGTTACTGCACTCAAACAATAACTTATTTCGAGAATAATAAGTTAATGCTGAGAGACATTTTTCGTCGAACATCAAGGATTTTATTAAGAAAAGTAGAGTACAGAAAGTAAATCGAAAATAATTTATTACATTAGTAAGATTGCTTTAAGATTTGAAGAAAACAAAATTATTGATTCTGCATTCAAGTACGAGTCAATGGCCACTTTAAACCTTGAATCTAGCAGAAAAATTAAGGAACTGTTATATTTTTCAAATAGTAAATGCTTGTCATCAATGCACAGAGATACCTGTATGAAATATTGTTCATTGATTGAATCTTTATGTCTAAAAGATCAACACATAAACTATCGTATATTACGTTACACCAATCATTGTGTTTTGAAATGGTTTGAAGATTTTTTGTTTTAAATATATTTTATAAGTTATCAGTACAATTGTAAATGTTCTTCTACAACATACATCTTCGGCAATTAAAACTAAGTACCGAACTTAATAAACATATATATCAATATTATTTCCGTTTGAGAGATTACACATTGTTGAGCTGTAGCTGTTAATAAGAATTTTAATGTTTGTTCGATAATCGATCGGTGTTTGTTTATAGTATCAGAGAATGAAGTTCTATGTCATCCATTATCCATTGATCGTACTTCAACAAGTACAAGTTAAGAAGACCATACATCAATAGGTGGTTGGTCAACTCGAATTACTTTAAAATTTATCAATAATGTCTAGGAAACTACAAAGTGGCCTCGGTCCCGCCGGGACCGGGATTAAAAAATTTTCACCCTGGTCCCGGTCAGTTTTTTATGCAATATATTTTCACGTTTATTATTTTGACATGATAAAAGATCTGTAAATCAGATATTTTTATTTGCTATTTCTATAAAAGTCTTTACTGATTATGAGTCTGTTTGCAAGAATCCGAATTTTCGAATTTCACAGGTTTTTGAATAAATATAAAACAACCAACACAACACTATATACGTAAATTTAATTCGCTCATTCTTTGATCATTCCTTTATTTAAATCTTATCAGATAATAGTAAATAGATATATGTCGCCGTTTATTTTTTTTTTGATAATAGTAATGGCGACTCGGTATAAATGATCAATTCGATAATAAATCAATTAGGTAGAGCAGTAGATATAAAAGAAGAGAGAAATAAGTAAATGACTGCTACGAAGTACATAAGAATTTTTAACAAAATTCAATGGTTATTTTTATTTATTCGAGCTTTCAGTGAAATGCTTTCACTTTAACACTGGATATAAAAGAATTCTCGTACTGTTAACGAATCAAAATCATTCATGTCAATTTTACGTATTCATAAAAGTACACAGATCGTAATAAAAAGTTGTTCGATTTTAGAAATGAAGCCATTGTCAAAGACCGGGACTGAGAGAAAAAATTGAGCGGGACGGGGATCAGAACCGGGACTAAAAAAAGCGATTCTGCAGATCCCTAATAATGTCGAATAAGCATTATTTCATATTCTTTATATTTATTATGATAGTACTTGTGATAAAGATCAATTTATTTCATGATACTAAACAAATAATTTGTATTATTAAATTGACTGTTGTAAGTAAACGATCAAGTTTTGAAAACAGCAGAACCTTATACATACAGTCGAGGACAATTGAAATTATATCCTTTGATTTTTTTTGTTTTTTATTACTATACGGTTTTATCTATTAACTTACTATATATAGGGAGAAAGCCCAAAACGTGCTGCATCTTTTAGTATATTTACGTTGAACATCAAATGCAGTTTAAAGTATAAAAACTGTATTAGAAGAAAAAGAACATTTTTTTATTTCGCATATATCTCGGCTTAGGAAAATCAAAAAATCTTGAATTTTTTTTCAAAAGATGCGTCGTGAAAAGCTCTACAAAATCCATGTGATTGAATTCCTTTTTACCTGTTCTAATAGGTTTTTCTTATACTCAAAATGAACAACTTACATGGCAGTGCCACTTCGCATCATAGTAAAAATGTTGGAAGACTTTTTTTTGTTCTGCATATATTTCGTCTTGAGAAAATGATAGAATTTTGAATTTGTTTTTAAAAGATGTGCCGCCGAAAGCTCTACAAAACTTGAATAGAGCAAATCCTACAGCGAATCGGAAAAGTTCTCGAAATATTTTCCATATTATAAGAAGTAAAACTAGACCTGTAAATTTTTCATTTTGAGCAAAAAGAAAACCCATTAGAACAGATAAAAAGGAATTCAATCATATGGATTTTGTAGAGCTTTTCACGGCGCATCTTTCGAAAAAAATTCAAGATTTTTTGATTCTCCTAAGCCGAGATATATGCGAAATAAAAAAATGTTCTTTTTCTTCTAATACAGTTTTTATACTTTAAACTGCATTTGATGTTCAACGTAAATATACCAAAAGATGCAGCGGGGTTCTGGGCTTTCTCCCTATATATAGTAAGTTAATAGA